TTGAGAGGAGGAGGAGGAGGAGGAGGAGGAGGAGGAGGAGGAGGAGGAGGAGGAGGAGGAGTGGTGGTGGTCCTTGCTGCTCTCCGAGCTTGGTGGTTTTCTTGCAGACGTTTCATGACCCAACTAGGTAACATTATAAGGCTAGAAGGGAGTGGGGCTTGGGAGAAGGAGGAGGAGAAGTAGGAGGGGTCCTTGCTGCTTTCTGAGCTTGGCAGTTTTCCTGCAGATGTTTGATGACCCAACTAGGTAACATTATAAGGCCAGAAGGGAATGGGGCTTGAGAGGAGGAGGAGTGATGTCATGCCCCTGGTGGAGTCTGACTCTGAGGAAGAGGAGGAACAGCCAACAGGGAGTGCGGGTGTGTCTCCAGAGGTGGTGGAGGTGGTTGGGGAAGGGCAGAGGCCGGCTGAGCAGTCAGAGAAGGATCCAGGTCCATCCCCTATCCATCCTAGGTCACGCAGGGAGGAGAGGATCAGGGAAAAGCGAGGTCTACTCAAGAGGAGATTACCATGATCCTCCTCGTGGCTTGCAGGTGGGAACTATGTATATAAGTTTGCAACTGCGCAGTTAGAATTGCTGAAGTCAATTAGCGTTCACCTTGAAAGAGATTTATCTTTGCTGGCGTTCTTCCCATGGACTTTTCTCGGTTATTTTCCTGGAGTTTATAATTAGTTATCTTGGCTTGCTTCAGAACTCTCGTCAATGCAGTTTGTTTTGGTTTTCTGTTTGCCTCATTATTTACTTTTGTGACTTTAAACTGTGCCTAATAAAACAGTGAAGTTAAGTTGAAAGCTTTACTGGACTTTAATGTATGTTTTGGGTTATTTTGAGAGACTACGGGTCATCATAAGTGAGGGACAAGCCAGTACTATATAAACAGACAAGAGGCGAGCTGTGGGATCTTTGGTGATCTCTTGAGCTTGGCTGTTTTCTTACAGATATTTAATGATCCAACTAGATAAAATCATCAGTGGTAGAAGGGAGTACGGTTTACTCCTTGTTTATGTACTAGTGTCTTACCCCACAAGTATTGCTGGGAATGTTCTTGGTGGTTTATTGACTGGGCTGCTTCCCGTTAACTTGGTTCTCTCAAGTCTGTAGTTCCTTCATTGTGGTATTGTTTACTTCTGGATTGTTGGTCTAGTGCAGTGGTTCCCAAAGTGGGCGGTATCGCCCCCTGGGGGGTGTTGGGATGCCTTAGGGGGGCGCTAAGAGGCAGCAGGGGGGCGTTCGACGCATCGGCACTGCAGGCTCACCCCACTGACTTCCACCGCTCTGGAGCCGGCGCCTCGAATGCAGTGGCAGCAGCTTTGCTCTACTTTCCCAACGTGCTGCCACATTCGAGGTGCCGGCTCCAGAGTGGTGGAAGTCAATGGGGTGAGCCTGCGGTGCCGACGCCTCGAATGCCCCCCTGCCGCCTCTTAGCACCCCTCTGCCGGCCCCCTTGTGGGCGCTAAGAGACGGCAGGGGGCGTTCAAGGCGCTGGTCCCTCAGGTTCACCCCATTGACTGTTGCACCAGAGCGGTGCAAGGGGCTCAATGGGGTGAGCAGCCCTTCCAAGCTGGCCAGCTTGTGCAGGCAGCGGGCCACCTCGTAGCACAGGACTTGCGCAGTGTGATGCCTGAAGATCTGCCAGTGGCAGGCCAGGCACTTGGCTTTCAGCTGGTCCTCATCCAGGAAGCAGCATAGGTCACGCAGCTCACAGTTTTCCACCTGCAGTTGCCCATTGACGTCTTTCAGCTCGTGGATCTTGCGCAGGTGCTCCTGCAGCTGCCGGTTCACACCCTGGATCATCCAGCTGTGTTGCACCAAGTGCCGCCAGCTTCTCAGCCTCCTCCCGGCGCAAACGGTGCACTATCTCCTCCTTGCTGCAGCCGGCCAGGTCTGCCTCGCTGGCCAGGGCATCGGACGGCGGACGAGGCGGCAGAGGAGGAGCCAGTGGCCTGAAGGGGTGGCTGACCAGGGTCGGTAGCGGTGGAGGCGCTGGGAACATCGCTTGCTCAGTTCCGGCCAGCACAAAACGGCGGCAGGGGAAGCAACCGGTTAGCCCACCCGTGCAGTGGTATCTGTGCAATGCTGGATGCTGGAAGAAGCAAGCTGTGCTTTTGCAGCGGGACCTCCCTCTTCCTCCGGCGCCAGGATTAATGGGATGGATGCGTGGCGGGGCCGGGCGTGCTGTGCCTCCACTGGCCAGGAGCAGGTGTAACAAATGGAGAAGGGTGCCTGCATGGTGGAGGGCGGGAGTGAAGGGGGGAGGCGGGGGAAGGATGCCCTGTCGGTGCAAAGTGTGTGTGTGTGTGAGCGGGAGCTTGTGGGCCTGTGCACAGGAACAGACTGATGGGGTGGGGGGGTGAGCAGCGCTGGTTTTTTTTCCCCCAAGCCAGGAAAATTGGGGAAAGGGTACGTGGGTGGGTGAAAAATGGAACAGCCTTGCACCCCTTCCCCGGTTGCAATCCAGATTAAGGAGTCTTCCTGCACCCACCCACCCACTCCAGGGTCTGGGACACACACCCCCCCGCAGCCTTCTGTAGCTTGGCAAGGGGCGTGCATGCATGGAGGCACAATTGGGGTTGGGGGCGTGGGTGGGTGGAAAACGGCTTGCACCCTCTCCCCGTCACTCTGCTTGGGCAGGTCCCTCTGGTGCAGCGGGCTCAATGGGGTGGACCTGCAGGGCAGGCACCTAGAATGCGACAGTGACAGAGCATTTGAAAAGTAGAGCAGAGCCAGAGATCAGTAACTTTTGCTGCAAAGAAGCACAAAAGCTTCTGGGCTGTGCACAAGAAGGGACACCCATGTCAATGCAATTCAGCAACATAAAACAAAGAAATACAAATAAAACAAATCAACAAGAATCGGCAAAAGCATCTCTGATTAGATTCTATTCACTACTAAAATCTAATCAGAGATGCTTTGACGATTCTACTCCAATGACCTGCTCCAGCAGGGTTAGAAGGGAGTGTGTGTGTATGTGTGTGCATGGCTGTCAAAACTCCAAAAACAGGTCAAGTAGCTCTGGGGAGGCCAGTCATAAATTAGAACACTTACTAAACAACCGGCCATTAAGTGAGGACCACTTGTATTTGGTTTGCCAGTCACCTGGCCATGCCCACCCAGTCACATAACCACCAAACCACACCTACCTGGTCATGTGACCAGCAAGCCACGCCCACACAGTCACATAACCAGCAAGCCACGCCCTCAAATTAGGCCACGCCCACAGAAATTTGAATCCCACCCCTGGTTGGGAGGCACTGAGGATGAGTTTGTAACACCAAGGGGGCGGTGGACTGAAAATGTTTGGAAACCACTGGTCTAGTGTTAATATTAGTGTTAATCTCCGGTCATCTAGGGGCTGAATGCTGGTTTTGGACTTTTTGTTTCCATTTTGGCTTTTTGATTGTCTCTTTTGAATGATATGTAGATGTTGCTTATCTCTATGTGTCAGGCTTCAAAAATCCTGCCGACCCGTCCTATGGTGTGAAGCCCGACACGTTATCTTGGTTGGGGAAAGATCCTACGCTCCTGCCATTTCCAACACGTTGACTTGATCGAGAAAGGTCCTCCATTCCTGCAGTTCCCATACTGGCTCGACCCATCAATCCCTTATCTGCACAACAATCTGACAGGGAATGGTTTGGGGGAGGGTTTTATCACTCCTCTCCTTCTCATTTTACCAAGACGAGACACGACAGCTCAATGGGACGGAACAGCGGGGCGAAATAGTTTACCAAAATGGAACAGTTGGTTAGGATGCGGCTTGAGGTTTTGTAAGTTGTATTGCTCGTGGGAGGGGAATGGTTTTCAGCTATTAGCTGCATTTAACATTGCGGGGTGGAGGCGAGCAGGGTAAATGGGGAGGGCGGATGTTAGTTATCCGAACGGGGTTGGGACTGCATAATAAAAAGCGCTGAGAGGCAGATGCTCTCAGCACTGGCTTTACTCGGAATTGCTGTTGTTGCCGTGTTGGGAAGAAACGAGTGATAATAAATGCATCTATCCACAAAGAACTGTGAATAACGTGGTTTATTGCCAGAGTTTCTACAAAACCAAACGGAGACTGACACTATGTGCCTGTTGATGGCTGATTTGTTTGAGTGCCAGGCTTCCAGGAATTCTCTAGAGTTTTTGGACTTGGTTTGGTCTAGGATGCTCACTGTTTCCCAGTGGAAACTGGAACAGCCCAAGAACACTCCTACCAACACTGACAGGGCAAGTGACTTGCATATGAACAGAGAGCAATCCCCACTCTCTTCTACCACTGATGATGTAACCTGGTCAGGTAATGAAACACCTGCAAGAAAGCAACGAAGCTCAGAGAGCACCAAAAAACCCACAATCATCCTCCTTCCCTCCCTCTCCTCTCCCTCCTTCTCCTCTCCCCAATCTCCACTCCCTTCTAGCACTGATGATGTTACATAGTTGGGTCATGAAATGTCTTCAAGAAAGCAACCAAGCTCAGAGACCGCCAAGGACTTCACACATCTTAAAATGATTACGGTTGGGAAACACCAATATACAGCAGGGATCTCCAAACTTGGCAACTTTTAAGACTTGTGCACTTTGACCCCCAGAATTCCTCAGCCAGCCATGCTGTGGAATTATGGGAGTTGCCAAATTTGATGAACAGATCTAGAGTAAGGCCTGACACGCTACTCAGGCATGGAAGCCACAGAAGGGAAACAGGAGATAACTGGTAATTAAATCTTCTATTTGGGACCACAAGGAGGCCAAACTCTATGATTAATTTCCATGTCAACTGGCAAAGAGAGAGGGACAAAAAAAGGAAGTAGGTAGACCCAGGACTGGCTCAACCACAGACAAAGGATGGGCTGGCACATCTTACCTGAGAATTGGGTTGGAAGGTGGTGTGGGGGGTTGAATGCTTCTGGAGGTTTTCGAGCATCAGGGCCTACAAACGAAAGAGGAGATGACATTAGAGATGGTTTCTACATGCCCTCAACGGGTCCAAATGCTGAACTTATTTTCCACTTACAGAATAAAGTTGGAGGTCTTCTAGTCCAGGGGTTGCCAACCTTGAATTAACCCCCGACCCAACCCCCCCACTTTTGGGATACTCCGTCCCCAATACATGTGGGTGGGCGCTGCAGGAGCCCCCCCTTCTAAAGGCCGGACCCCCCCCATCCATCCATCCAACCGGTCAAGTGCACAGCAGGAACCTTAGATTAGAAGCTGCAGGAGCCATCCCTTTTAAAGACCAGCTGCCATCCAACTGGTCAAGCGTGCAGGAACTTCCATTAGAGGCTTTAGGAGCCCTCCCTTCTAAAGGCCAGACCTCCCCAGCATCCTTCCATCCAACCAACCGGTCAAGCACACAGGAATCTTTCCTTAGGAGGGCTGCAGGATCCCTCCCTCCCTCCCCCATCCAACCTGTCCCTTAGAGCAGGGGTCACCAACCTTTTGGGCCTCAGGGACCACCAAACTCATAATTTTAGATCCCAGGGACCACTAACTGGTTCTGTGGGTGTGGCCTAATTTGTGGGTGTGGCTTGGTGGTCATGTGACTGGCTGGGCATGGCTTATATGTAAATATTATAAATATATATATATATTTTTATAAAGAGCAACTTTTACCCAAAATCAGGCAAAGCAGGCAGATTGAGTTGCTCACAGAATCGTTCAGTGATGTATCTATCTGCCATCATCTAGCTCAGTCTCTCAAATTTGCTTACAGTGAATCTGCACTGAATTTACTTGCAAGCAAACCTTCAGTCCTAAGAGAGGTTCAGCTGTGCTTAAAAGCAGAGCCAAAGATCTAAAGACTAGCTAGAAAGCACGAAATCCAACCATTTCCTGCTTCCTAGCTAATCTAAATCTCCATGCACAGCAGAACAGATGATGGTAGGAAAAAGGAAAAACAGAAATTTAGCAGGCAAGTTTGCCAGGTAAAAAGTGAGTGGGTGGGGAGGGTTCCCGCGGGCCATGTGGGCAGTGCAGC